CTGCGAGATTTTGATTTAGCCTACATAGACTTTGATTTATCATACTTCTCAAAAACTATTGAAAAAGCCTATTGATGAAACGTTTTTTAATTATTGGGGTGCTACACGGGTGTCAAGTTGGCAACCCACTTTCTTAAAAATATCATAAAATTGTTTCAACAATAGGCTTTTTCAATAGTTCTTGAGAAGGTCTGTAGTTCCCGGTCTCGTTCTAAGTATTGCTTCGGGAACCAGCGGTGAGGTAGCGAAGAACCTCTGCCCGGCTACAATGGGATTAGCATTGTCGACGGTGGCGATGATCATCATATCCTACTTCCAGACTTACCGTTACGATTTAGTGATTTTGGTATCGCCTAAAATCGTAGCGTTGTGCATCTCCCTACTCATCTCTGTTTCTTTTTCGGTCAAAAGTAGTTCTACATTTTTTTTCTCCTGGGGCTAGTCAAAATATGGCGGCCTCTGCGTTATGTCAGACCGTGATCCAGACTCTTAGTTGAGGGACTCTAATGTTTTTATAATCGTATAAACGTAGCTCAACGTGATTTTATAGAGATTTTGAAATGTTGAGTAATTAATGGTCTTATTAAGTTTCACAATAGCTGAACGATATTAAATATAAAAAATGATACCAACGAGGCGGTGCATTCCGAAATTGCTAAGAAGTTCTCTATTCAAGCTTTCTTTGCTAGACAGGTTAATTTTATATGATTTTATTTAAAGATTATACACTAATTATTTGTAAAAGTTCTTGTATATATAATTCATTGACTATCTTTTTCTATGTCAAATGCTGTTGTAATATTATCATGAATGATTATTATATTCTTATCGATTTGCATGAATGGCGAAATAAGTTTAATATGATATTTTCATAAGTATATTGTGTAGGATATCTGGATCAGCATCTTATTTAATTCAGCCATACAGAGAGAAAAAGGATGACAGTAGTTCAAATTTATCATCGATTTTTCAACCAGTTCCTATTAAATCAAATCCAGATGACATAAACGTAGGAGCTGAATTGGCTGGAACATTGAGAAAGGCAGATTTATTGAAAATTTTAAACAAATTCTTACAACAAAGAGAGATCAAAGCATTAGCTTTAGAATATGGATTGGATGGTAATTATTTAGTTATAAATTGGCATGGAGTGTAGTATTAATTAATAAGGACTGTGTTAAAATGGAATTTATTTATTTCTTAGACTATCTGCAACAACAGGCTTATACAAGCTTTAGATGTTATTGTCTAGAAACTAAATCACTCCCTGTAGATCTTCATGTGGTCATAAGTGACATTCTTCAGGGTGCTGGACATGTTGCTGACATATTTCCATATTTCATACGACATGCAAAACAAATGTTTCCACATATCGAATGTTTAGACGATCTAAAAAAAATAAGTGATCTACGTAGTCCAGCTAATTGGTAAAGTTATACATTGTTGTATTTTCCTAAATTTATCCAAGTTTCTACATTATATTAGAATTATTTTCAGGTACCCAGTTGCAAGAGCCAAAACACGAAAAATAGTATTTCATGCTGGCCCAACAAATAGTGGAAAAACTTACCACGCACTTGAACGTTTTATGACTGCTAAAAGCGGAGTATATTGTGGTCCTTTGAAATTACTAGCAACAGAAGTATTTCAAAAAACAAATGAGAGAGTTAGTATCTTTATTCGCCGTCTGTAAGTCAATTGTATAATTTGTACTATTTATAAACAATTCTCAGGGTGTCCCATGTGATCTGGTAACAGGTGAAGAAAGGAAATTTGCAAATGACCGTTTAAATCCTGCTAATCACGTGTCTTCTACAGTAGAAATGGTTAATGTAAATCAACCATGTATGTCTTTGTGTACTAAACATTATAAAACTAAATTTAAATCATCTAGATATCACATAGTTTAATATCCTCTATTTTGAACGATACAGATGAAGTAGCTGTCATAGATGAAATTCAGTTAATGCGAGATCAAGGAAGAGGTTGGGCATGGACCAGAGCTCTTCTTGGACTTCCTGCTGATGAGATTCATCTTTGTGGTGAAGCTGGTGCCATCGACCTGGTATACTAATAGAAGACTTTCTTGTTTTATATCATTTTGTTTCAAGAAAATTTATCAGCTCTAATTCTTCATTACATCAGGTGAATTCTCTATGCACGACGACGGGTGAGGACGTCGAAGTTCGAAGATACAAACGATTAACAGAATTGCAAGTAGAAAATACTGCTTTGTGTTCTTTAAGCAATGTACAACCAGGAGACTGCATAGTCTGCTTCAGTAAAAATGATATATATACGGTATCTCGTGGAATAGAGGCGCAAGGAACTGAAGTGGCAGTAATATACGGTAGCTTACCACCAGGTACTAAATTGGCACAAGCTGCAAAATTCAATGACGTTAATAATCCTTGCAAAGTACTCGTCGCTACGGATGCCATTGGAATGGGCCTGAATTTGTAAATACTCAAAACATCAATATTATGAACGAACTAATTATATGTGATGCATCGTATAAAGTAGACGTTGTTATTACAGGCATATACGTAGAATCATTTTTTACTCACTAATTAAACCGACCGTTAATGAAAAGGGAGAAAAAGAAATGGACACTATATCTGTATCATCTGCATTACAAATAGCAGGACGTGCTGGTCGTTACGGAACGCAATGGGAAAAAGTATGTGAACAATATCAATCAAAATAAACGAAACATTGATTTACTAGGATGTGTTTTAGGGCTTTGTAACAACATTTAAACCAGAAGATTTGAATACGTTGAAAAATCTACTAACCCAGGCACCTGAACCTATCACACAAGCAGGTTTACATCCAACAGCCGATCAAATAGAATTATATGCTTATCATCTACCTAATTCTCCCTTATCTAATCTCATGGTGAGCATCTCATACTTTAACTCATTAAATTATAACATTTAATCGACCGTATTTAATGGTTTTTGACTTTTAAGGATATTTTTGTCTCGTTGTGCACAGTTGACGATTCATTATACTTTATGTGCAACATAGAGGATTTCAAGTTTCTTGCCGACATGATACAACACGTACCTCTGCCACTTCGTGCACGATACGTCTTTTGTTGTGCGCCAATTAATAAAAAAATGCCATTTGTATGCACAATGTTCCTAAAGGTAACTTAAATTTCTATACTAAAAAGTTCTATAATAAAGATATGAACGTATATAACGCGAGAATTTCTTACAGTTTGCACGTCAGTACAGTCAAAATGATGCTTTAACATTCAGTTGGTTGTGTCAAAATATTGGATGGCCACTGACTGCACCAAAAACCATTCTTGATTTAGTTCATCTGGAAGCTGTCTTTGATGTATTGGATATCTACCTTTGGTTAAGGTAATATATTTTAATCCTAATTGATATTAAATATTAAATTATATACATTTTTTTACAGCTATCGGTTCATGGATTTATTCCCCGATTCCAATATTGTAAGGGATATGCAAAGGGAACTGGATGCAGTCATTCAGGATGGTATTTTTCGACTTACTAGTTTACTGAAAAATTCAGAAACAGGTAATATTATTGTTTTGTATTACATATTGCACCATTATATGATGAAGTACTATGTATATTTCAATTCAGCCGATTGGCGTCAATATGTTGTTTTTAATACACGATTTCAAGTTCAGTCTCTCTCTAATGATACATTCCATTCAAGAGCATCACAATACTTGCACATAAATTGCTTAGTATTTACAATGATTGCTTACATAATTATATTGTTATATAGGTGTCAGCAGTGGGGCAGCAGCAGCTCCTGATGAAGACAATTTCCAGCTACACACACAAAAACAACATTATTACAGAGGCATCAAAAAAGATTCTGGCGCAAACGTCGTAGGTCGTGGTAGACTGACAGAAAGATTGCTAGCACAAGGTCTTCTAACTCCAAATATGCTACAAGAATTGCGACGCGAATGGACTAATGCAGTAAGCAAAAATAAAAATCAAATAACGAAACATGACTATTAATTGTCAACTTGATTTGTAGAAAAATGGAGATGATCACAGTAACACAGATTCTTCGCCAACCAAAATTAGGCGAAAGCGTAAACCATGAGACAGTGACTGATTTCTGTTTGTGTATATAAAATGCCAAAACGTAAGAATAAAATTTATAAAAACCTTGAAGATTGGCTCTACGTCAGTTCCTTCACATCCTCTTCTCCTTCAATTGGTTGAAAAGGTTCAACAGTACGTTGAAACAAGTTATAAAACTGAGGATCATTTTTGACCTGACGTAAGTATCTTCGCACTATCCGCATAGATGGTAAAGTCATGTAATTATTAAGCAGCATGTATCTGTACATTCGTGGAGATTCAACGTATAAAAGGAGGCAGAGAAAGACCCAGGTTTCAGAATACCTAACATCCTTTTTACTTTCGGAAGCACTTGCTTTGAGACACTCCTTCATCATAAGCTTTTGAATTTCTGGCATGTTCAAAGAGTCTATAGTATTTAAAAAAGTCTTTTGTGGATCAGAGAAAAGATCCCTGAACCTGTCTTTAAAATTCGCCCTCATCACTTCGAATCTTTGATTGCGTTTAGCCAGCTTCCTTAGCATTTTCTGCAGTGCATTTATCTTTCTCTGTTTTCTTAAGAGAGTTACAGAGGCGTCGTCAGTGTTGCTTTCGGATTTACATCGTGCTAGAACGTTACCCAGGGTAGAACATTTTGAACACTTTGTAGAGCCATTGTTCAGGATGACTGGACATAATTTATGTCTCCATTTACCACCATCTCGAGATGCCACTGCACTGTTTATTTCTTCAAATCCTTCTATACTTGAACTGCCTATTTCGAAAATAACTTAGTCAGAATGAGTAAACGTTGAGATAAATATGTATATGGAGAATTTTGAATAAATACCTTCGCATACTACCCTTTGATCTAATTCCTCAATCAGTTCTTCTATGTCAGATAGTGTCTGAACCTGAAGTTCCTTTCCCTCTCGAACAAGATTATGGATAAATGGATTGACTTCTTTGCTTACAGCTCCACAACGCATCACCATGTCACTTTTTATGTAGACTTGCTTTTCCACAAATGGCACCCCATTTGTTGCTACATTCATGTACAGGTACACAACTGTTGTACCATGCCCTTTTGATGTTACAGTAAACGACCACCCTCGAGGAAGAGCCACTTCTGTATAGACTTCCAGTAAATCTTCGAATAACATTATGTCAATTTGCCCATTTGAATGTTCAGTTCCATCGTGAGATTCTAACGGATCTTTATCTAAATTGTGTAGTATTTGGTCGTTAACATTATCTTCTTTTGTACTCAATACAAGTTTTAAAGGTTGATTTTGTGCATAGGAATTGTGTTTACGAGAATCTCTATCCCATATATCTGTAGATGTATCATCATCGATAATAATACCACTTTCTTTTGAGAAATATTCTGTCATTCTGTTCGAGGCTTTGGAATATGATGAACTCTGCTCAATCATTTCTGGCTCTGACTGGCCTGATTCATGATGTGATGTTCCTTGTATATATAGTATATTATCTTCTCCATTATTCTCTTCGTACAATAATTCTTGAACATTTGCATATTCTTCTTTGACTATTTCCATTTCATGTTCCTTGAGATCTTCTAATAGCACAAAGGTTGTACACTCCTGTGAAGAGTCTTTACACGAGGATGACTTACTGGATTCAATTTCTCCTTGATAATGTGGTTCATAGGTTTCAGTGTCAAGAAAATTTTCATTCTCAATCGTACTGGAATTACAATAGTTTGTTGAATCATGATCTAAATTTTCATCAGTTCTAGGTATAGTAAAGACTTTTTTGATATTGTTAGTATGCTCTCTTTTAGGGGCAGATGAAGTTTCCTTATTCACTTTAAATTCATTGTATTGATCCATATCAATATCTTCTGTGTTATCGTTCATCTCCAGATCAAGGTCTGGAACTGCACCTGGCCGTAGCCTACATTTTTTGTACTTAATCTAGAAAGTAATAATTAAATTAATATTCATTGTATCATTGGTTTCATTAAAAATACTTACTGTTATTACATGGGGTGGGACCCCACTGACCCAATGAGTTATTATATCATTTTGATGAAAGTGCTTGCTACACACATATGTGTCATCACTAACAGCATAGTTATCAATACCTATTGCCTCTTGCCATTTTCTACGTGTCTCTGGATCTTTGGGAGCCGAAAAGAAACTGTACGAATTTCTGTAATTCGTCTCTTTACAAAGTACACATTTTCGTGTCATTTTCCCTCTCTGGTATTACTACACAATCCTAATTGTTACAAATAATTGTAATAACACGTTTTCACTCACAATTAACTTTTAAAATGAGTTATAAACCCGAAGAGTATATAAATAAAAACTCGTGTGATAGGTTATATGATTTTGAGGCATAATTTCTTCAAAAGAAAACAACGACGAACAGGGAGAGGTATATTGATCGCAATGTACGAAATCGCAGCCTTTTAAAATGACTAGTTTACAACTAATATTTAATGAAATGCTACGAAATAATGAAACTTCGCAGCTGATGCATCAACAATTTGGTACACCGCCAGTGGCACATCTGTTTGCTGTTAACCGGACGAACTTTGGTACACATTTCCGGAAGTACATTCCAAACGAAATAGGAGTCGCTGTATCATGAATAAGATGATGGATTGATTATTTGATGATTTGTTAAGTATTCAGAATTGTAAATATCAATCAATTAGTTCAACTTTAAGTACCTTGTAGAGGAAATCATGTAGATTGTTGATTTTGAGGAAATATGTAAGGTTCACATGAATTTGTTCAATTTATTGTGTGAACAAATATCTTCTTTCATCTACATTGATTATAAAATATATACTATCACACGACCTGTGCTTCAGGCTTCTTTTCAGTTGTCACTGCAGCAAGATCTTCCTCCTCTTCAGGTTCCTGAACATATGTTCTTTCACCAAATTCTGATGGTGGCATCCAGGGTGGGATAATTTTTGCATGGATACGCCAAAGACCATACTCATTAGCCACATGCTTCTCAAACACAATGTACTCTAGTACATCTTTCTTTAAAATTTCACTACCGCACATCAAACGTCCAAATCGGTCGTATATAGCTAATTGCTGATCAAAAAATAATATGATGTTAGTATGCATCAATCAATATCATTTATATTTAGTTTTATAATAAATACTTTTTAAATATTGCTAACCTGCTGATTGTGAAAACGAACAGTTAATTGAGAAAAAATGTTCGATTTTGTAATTACATGTGTAGATCTTGCATGAACAATACGTGGTGGCTCAAGTGATTGCAGAAATTTCCAGTGAATGGTTTTGTCCATAGCATTGTACAACATTTCCTAAATGAAACGTATTATTGGTTACTATTATATAATATGACTGAATATTAACTTTAATAAAAGAATTTCTCTTACAGGGTATGCTCTTTCAGTAATATATTGTCTCAGTGCATGCTTGTCTTTTCTGTCGAGAAGATAACGTAAGTTTTTTATTGGTTTAAAGTTTATAAGAACTAAAAATATATATTATAAGTTTATTACATTGACATCAGTTCAAATTTAACTAAGGATTAAATACAACATTGACTGATCATGTGACCGGATTGGGTATTTAATTCTGAGTTAAATTTTAATTGATTCTAATACAATTAGCCATATATATATATAATAAAATAGCTTTACCTTGACAATGCTTCATGCGCTTTTATATAAATCTCTCGTGCCTCTTCAGCAAAATCACGAACATCAAATTCTGGCTCAAAATCTCTGATCTTTCTTATAGCCATGTATGATTTACTTTTCTTCTCAACAAATTCAAATTTTTGCTTAGCGCCCTATAAATGTAATATTTGTATAATTACTAAAGTAGTGTTTGTATACTATCACAAATTTTAATTTATAAAAATTACATTATTGGGAACTGACCGTTGTACTGATTGCTGAAAATTTGCCATCACCTTCTGGCGGAACATAAGCTTCAAAAATTCCTCCTGTACAACTGATATAAGTTGGCCTTTCCATCCATATTCGTTTTGGTAATACACCAAACTCTTTCATCTTACTACGAGTCTTTTCCTCGCTTATATCTTCATCTGATTCTTCAAAATTTGGTAATTTGACTTTAATTACTTTTTCCCTTCGAAATTTCTTCCATTTGGGGTTCCAATGTTTATTGATACCACGTACATGTTGAAGATTATATCCACTGTGATTAACAGGTATTGAAAATAGTGATGAGTTATTCTGAAATATTATACAATAGATTTGATCGTATAATAAAAAAGTAACATTATAATTACAAAAATAAAAACATTTTAAACTTTAAGCTGATTCTGTAACCTAAGTTAAACGAGTGATAGTACCTGAAGAACCCGGATAACAGTAGATATGCCACTTGTATATCTTGCCATATTATTCTAATAGTTCCAAAAAAGTTGTTTCGTATTTAATCCTTTTATTACAGTTACAATTTCCTCTTTTTTAACTCACGAAATTCTCCGGCTAGATCACAGTTCCTACTGTTCGCCACATTCGTATTAGGTTAGATACATCTAGATGATGCTTCAGATAATTTTGAGTCTTTAAGTAAATCAATATACATGCTTTTTGAGATATATTGAAAATTATCTTAAAGCATATGTTCATCTATGCTCAACCGTGTGGTTACTACTTTCGGTAATTGGTATATATTTCTACGGCATTTCAATGCTACGTTTAATTAAGCATTGTGGATTTTTTAATAATTTGTGCTCTTATTGTGAGTACTGCTATATGTATACAATATGCTTGTCATACATTGAAATTATTAACTGGTGAATTACAGTACAGTAAAGCATAACCTTTTATGATTCTTTACATAGTTTTCTGCTATGTTCATGTGGAAATACAACTTTATTTCTGTACGAAAAATAGTATTAGGTATTTCATTTCAGTACATACAATAAATTTAATAGTATTTTATAATTGTAATTTATTCCTTAAGAGAGTATTATTTACTGTAGCTACTATTAAACATTTTTTTCAGGTAGTACGCAACACTGTAAAATGTCTCTTAACATAGGTAAAGTGACTATGGAAGATAGTATTGTATCTGAACAAAACAATAAAAGACCTCTGGTAGAAGAAAATGATGAGAATTTGCTTAAAAAGCAAAAAACAGTATCAACCGAAAGAGTGAAGAAAAAGAATTATGCCATATTGTTGGGCTACCTTGGAAAGGGATATTTTGGTATGCAAAGAAATCCTGGAATGAAAACTATCGAGGAAGATTTAATAAATGCCTTGTTCAAAGCAAATTTAATAAATGAAGAAGCATTTAAAACAATACAGACAATACAATTTCAGAGAGCAGCACGTACTGATAAAGGTGTTTCTGCTGCTAGGCAAATTGTTTCCTTGAAATTACGTAAGAATACAGTCCATGGAAATATATTGCTGAAAGTAATACATGATACAGCACTAATGTCTAACTCTATAATTGTTTTCTTTAAGCTGAGCAAGTATCTAAGGACGATATAAACATATTTCTTCCAAACGAAATTAGAATTTTTGGTATAAAACGTGTCACGAAAGGATTTAATAGCAAAACTCAATGCGACGCACGAACGTATACATATACTCTGCCCACATATGCATTTGCACCAGAACCACCCAATATTTTACAAGATGAAGAATATATCGTTTTGGAAGAACGATTAGAAAAATTGTCAATTATAGATGGAAAACCGTTTAATGAATATCGTATATCAACAGAAACCGTTGAAAGAATAAAGTCGGTACTAAAGATGTACGAAGGAACGCATAATTTTCATAACTTTACTTCAAAAGTGTAAGTTACCTTAAATGTAATAGATATTATTTAGCATGATATATATATTCAGTATCTCATTCTGCGTACAGGAAACCATTAGATCCACGTGCAAAGAGATATATAATGGAATGCACCTGTTCTGAACCATTCATATCAAAAGATATGCAATTCATAACACTTGAAATAAAGGGTCAAAGTTTTATGCTTCACCAAATTAGAAAAATGGTAGCATTAGTTATAGGAATGGTACGAAATATTGCAACGGAAGAATCTTTCGAGCAAGCGTTTAAGGCTAAAAGAATAGATTTACCAATTGCACCAAGTTTAGGCTTGGTATTGAATCAGGTAATATATTAATTAATGATGCTGACCAGCCGGTGTTACATTTTGTTTTATCAATGATCAACCTTCCAAACTCTATCAGATACATTATGACAATTACAATGAGAGATATGGAGCTGATGGCATTCATGAAAAGTTGGATTGGCTGGAATGCAAAGAAGAAATTAATACATTCAAAAAGAATTACATTTTCAAAGACATCGTAGACATGGAAGTTGCTGAGAAAATGTATCCTTTTATGCAAACTTCTATAAAATCGACTATAAACATCCAATTTTATAATCTCCTTAACCATTACCATAGTACGTTAAATTGGCTGGCAACGTTAGCTCTGCATACATATTCCTTTCGAGAAAAGCATCTTAACGAATAGTGTAATCAACTAAATGTTAATGCATTATTGCATAGGATGCAACGCTTAACGGACCAATAAAATCGACTTAATTCCGAGGCGAATGAATTTTACAAATAAAATAAATTTACAACTACCATCTATATCACAATATTTATTAAAAATTCTTTATAGTAGAATAAGCGTTATCCCTTCCGTCTCCCTAATCTTTGCAAATAATTATTTTATTCTTAATAACGATTGCGCCAATAGTATCAAGTAGTAATAGTAATCAAGATAAAGAGATGAAGTCTGACTTATGCATGTTATTCATGTAAAAAATAGTCATGTATTGCACGTTAACATATCGAAGAATATATATAGTATCCATAGAGAGAGCATGCCTTTTCTCATTAATACCAGATTAGCGTGCGACAGTCTACGCTCAACAAGTGAAGAGTGAAGAACTGTTAGTCATCATTTGCCTTGAAGTACCAACTAGTGCTATAATGAAGATTGAGCGATGTACCGGGATTTTTATATTAATTTGTGGTGAGTGTGAGACACAAAAGCCGTTTTTCATACCTGTACGATTCATTGACGTAGAATGGAATAAAACAAGGTGGTCCAACCGTGTAATGTATGTGAATTATTAACAAATTATGAACGGAAAATGGTGTATAAATGGTCACAAAATTTCTAAGAAGTTCAACAATTGTGCGTATGCGTGACATCGTAATTATGAAAACAATATTCTTGGTACTGATGACTTTCCCCTGCTGATACACGTTGGGAATTCCAAAATTTTACATAGTGGGATAACTGTTTGTCTGACAGACAAGTGACGCGGTGAATATGTTGCGCAAATAATTCATAAAATTAGTTAACGAATGATTAAAAAATGTACTGATAACATCAGGGGTCAAATCAACAGCATAGGAGAATAACGTGTAGCAACATAGCGCATACGTACATATACATAAGTATATTGTTCGAGGAGAGTTGTATAATGACGTATTCTTGGGGAAATTTCGTAGCGTCGCCAAGACGAAACGGGGAATTCCATTTGAGATGTAGTATGTTTTATCGCGCGTCTTTTTCCTAAATAATAAAGTAAGAATAAAGTATACGGTATTTCAGATATCTGACAGAACCGGTTTTACGATCGGTATACACACGCGCGCGCGGGCACACACACACACAGACACACACACACACAACAATACAATGACCGTGAACCCACAAGAAATGAAATTACAATTTTTATTTACTATGCTACCAAAGACGTTTAATGTTATGTCAACGAATATTATGTAATATAAAACAGTAAGAAAAAATATTCCGATAATTGATAAAAGCATGAAATTAACATTATCCGTTTCTCAATGCGAACGTAGCATTGGCCAGACTTGGGTATGCTCAAACTTTATCAAGAAGAAATAGAATATGCGGGTGAGTTGACTTAGTAAAATATTATTTGACTTGTTCGACGTGTATTCATTGATATACATGTTTTTCTATAGTCCAAATAAATTCGTATGTCAAAATGGAGAGTGCATAGCAAGCGAACTACTCTGCGATGGACAAGCAGATTGCAAAGACGGTTCTGATGAAACTCAGGCAGCATGTTCCGGTCCAGAGATGAAGTGTTCTCCGTTTGCATTTCGGTGCGCGTATGGAGCATGCGTTGACGGAGATTTAAAATGCGATGGAAAAAGCGACTGTGTAGATGATAGCGATGAGTTGATATCACAATGTTCAGGAAGTTCAACAAGAAATCCTATAAATAATACCGAATGTTCCGAGAATGAATTTAGATGTGATAATGGTCAATGCATCGATGACACTCTGCTATGCGATGGTCATGTTGACTGCCATGATGGATCTGACGAGACATACGCTAAATGTAGTTCTTTTATGTAAGTATTTGGTCAAACAGATTATAAACAGATTATTACTATAAATTGAGACTGAAGGAAAATAATTTCATTAATGAATGCTCGTTGCGATTGTAGTTGTCCGAGCGTAGTGTTTCGCTGTAAGTATGGCGCATGTATCGATGGCAATAAAAGATGCGATGGAAGAAATGATTGTGCTGATAAGTCAGATGAGGATCCTTTGATGTGTCAAGGATCAACATCAACCACTCGTCCAACCATCAGTCCACCAACAAGACCGACAATAGTCACTCCAACCTGGACTCCACGGCCATTGGGATGTATGGCGCCATTGCAACCCACAAATGGACAATGGAAATTATTTGGACCGCAATGTCCTGATAAACGAGAATGTCACATCTCGCAAGGAACTGAACTAGAACGTGGATCACGAATTGTTTATAGCTGTAACACTGGATATAAAATTGAAGGATCTACGGACGTTTACTGTGACTATGAAGGGAAATGGTCCAAGGTGCCTACATGCGTTGGTAAGATTTAAGATTTATCTGATACATATAGAATTTCGATATTATATTAACTCGAGAATGTTAATGATAAATTGTTCTTTGTTGTAGAAATTAGATGTGAAGCACTCAATACAATTTCAACGGACCCTATATGTTCATACGGATCTGAAAGTGTACCGTGTGGAGCTCCTGTTTTACCAGGAACTACAGCAGCACTTCAGTGTCGTAGTAGCTATCGTAAAGGTGTTCCTGCACACCTCTCTAATCAAGGAGAATACGTCAGATGCAATGATAACGGTGTCTGGGAGCCTACTCCCATCCAATGTGTTCCAGGTCTGTTATCGGTTAATGTTCAGTTTCCGGGTGCTACAGTGACGGTACAAAATAACAACGGGGAGAAACAAAACTTTAATTCCACCCTTATTCAGATATTAACAGATAAAATTGTTATATATACGAATAACTGGCTGTATGCGCCTGATATTGATATACGATTCGGTCGTCCTAGCCAAAATTAGCCACTCCCCAAAGTAAAAATAGAAACGTAAAATGTATTATCATAGTTACATTAGAACAAACGGAATATCAGGGTACATTTTTAGTTGTTTAGTAGTTGAATTTATATATCTTTATTTTTGTTTAATGGAGATAATTCACATCCCTGTTATAAAACCATTGATGATTTTGCACATAGTACAAATAATCAATTCTGTAGGAGAAATTTAGAGAAAATGATCTAGCAAAGGAAGAATTTTCTTTGAATATTAATGTTGAATTATTGCAGTGGTTATCACGGCATTTAACGGCTTTTATTTATTGAATGTGCATTATGATTCTATTATAAGTTTAAAATCCAAATACTTTGTTTAATAAATTTATTGCAACAAAACACTGTGTAGATTCTATTTCCTATTTATCCTGTTTGATGAAGTGACTGTAAAAGTTTCTTTTTCCAATTAAACTTCAGCTCCTAGTTGCAGGGATTTGTGGATTATCTCTGAATAAGATAATTGTGATCAATCTTCTTTCGGTTTTTCTAAAAATTTATTTCATAAAATCACTCTTTGTTGTATTATTACTTACTTCAGTACAGCTTGTTGCTTATTTATGTGAATTGATATAATTTGAGCATTTTTAGCTTTTCAATGTACTTATATGTATTTTAGCATGTGGAGGTATTACTGATTTGAAACCACTCATCGTAAATGGCGTAAGACCAAACATCACTGATTTTCCTTGGCATGCTACTTTATACAAAACTGTTCGCGAAAATGAGAAGAGAACATTTATTTGCGGTTCAACTATCATCCAGGAAAATTTAGTCATCACAGCAGCTCATTGTGTTTTCGATGAACAGAATTCTCGAGTAGAGGACGCCAACAAATTTCTAGTAGCAGCAGGAAATCTCTTTCGAGATTACGACAGCATATACAACAATCAAAATTTTGTACAGACTTCTGAGGTCCGTTGAATATTGAAGTATATCAGAAATTGAAGATTGCGGTATTAACAGAAAATTTCTTTTCAGGTGAAAAATATTTACATTATGTGCAAGTACCAAGGGTTGGGTGGAAATTATGCACTAGATATTGCAATATTGCAATTAAAAAAACCATTTATATTTTCGGCTGTAGTTGCCCCCGTATGTCTAGACTACAGAGGTGATGATATCGCCATTTTGGAGTACGGAAATTATGGAAAAGTTGCTGGATTCGGTAGAACTGAGTCCGCAGATTCCAGTTTCGTCTTACAATCTATTACTGTACCGTATATCCCATATAGCCAATGCATATCGTCCAGCGATCCATTAGAGAACAGGAAATTTAACACAGCTGACAAATTCTGCGCAGGATACACGAATGGTCAGTGAACTGTAATAAAAGAGAAGAGATGGACACTTTCACTCTATCAAAAAATGTATTTCTGATAAGAATTGTGTTTTAGGTTCATCTGTTTGTGACGGTGACAGTGGCGGTGGATTAGTCTTCAAAACACAAAATCTTTGGTACTTGCGTGGCATTGTTAGTGTAGGGATGGGCACAACGACTTCAGGTGGAATAAGATCTTGCGATAGTCATGCATTTTCATTGTATACCAAAGTTTCGACTCACACAAGATGGATACAGAGTGTAATTTATAATATGGCTAATAACAATCCTATTCAATCATGTAATACAAATTCTTAAATTTATTGTAGGCAAATGACAAATATACATTTACAAGAAATAAATGAACTTGTGTTTGCCTTTCATTGATACAGTTAAATGAATGAGGATAAGTCAGTATCATTGGTATTGGTATTGGTATCATGTAAAATAAACATACTTACGTTTAAGATTATGATGTTAGGGGATTTTTTTCCTTGACTAACGTAGAAAGCACGGAGCGTGAAGATTTGGGCGGAGAAGGCATATCTAGAATTTTAAAGCATTGGATAGATATAAATAATATATAAATTTTGACAGTGAAAATTACCTTGCAAATGTAGAGACATCAATTCCTGTTCAAGATCATTCAGTTTTGGTAGTTTGTGATCTTCTGACTGTGATGGTAATTTATTTTGATCTTCCACAGAAGTGTCAGCTGAACTATTAGAAAGCGACGGACTTGCCATAAGTTCGGCCAACTCTGTCTCCAATTCATGATCAGATTCAATGTGCTCGACTGATTCCGATAATACAGTTTGCAATTCTTTGAATTCTTCCAAAACTTCAGACAGGTCATCCATGGTATCTCGGACACTGTCTTCAGTTAAGCCAGCCTCCTCTAATTTCTTCTTGAGAGTAATGCATCCAGTTTTGTAAGAAGTCATAACTTCAGAATCCGAATGAGCATCATGAATTCTGGCAATGAGGATCTGTACGTTTTGTAACGCTGCAGCACGTTTTTCAATGCTTTTTTCAAGCTCCTTTTTCTTGCGCAAACAACTTTTGGCTACTTGGCGTAAACCGCTAGCCAGATAAGATTTAGCGTTTTTTAAAACAGCATTTTTCTCAACCTCAAGTAATTCCAAGTTTTTAGTGAGCATCTCTTCTTGCTTCAACAATTTGTACAAACCCTCTTCCACTTCTGTCACTTCTGTTACTCCTTGAGGAGATATTTTCACTAACAATTCAGAATCCTTTTGTACAGTGTTTTCCCTGAAAGCTGCCTTTTTTGCTTGTCGAAGCCAAATTATTGCCAGTTTTATGTTTTCATTCGTTATATGTTTATTTTGAGATTTTTCTTGACAGTTTTTGGTTACTTCGCACAATGGTATCAGAGACTTATTCTCTGTGTCTTCCAAAGTAGTGAGTATTATTTCTGCAAGTTCCTTTACTGTTTTAACATGCACAAACTTTGCATTTGTGTCTATACTTTGCTCATACATGCTATTCTTTACTTTGAAGAAAGACCAGATCAATGGTTTTTTAACCAATATATCGATGGCCCAACCAGTCCAAGTACCAGCAGGTCCTTTCAAGAACTCAGGAAGTGATATGATTTCGCCATTTCTACAAAAAATTCATAATATAAATAAATATATATATATATTTAAATGCATGTACATACAATTATTAAGAATATTTACTTATGAAGTTCTTGCACAACAATAGAGAGGCACAAAGGAATACGACCATTGCGTTTGAATGCCAAATTAAGATCAGAAATAGAGAAGCTGCAGCGCATTTGATGTCCCAACCATTCTGATATCATATTTTTCCAGAACGTATATTTTGAATCCCAATCCTGAGGATTGACCGACCGATTTCGAAATTGTGCAAATAATGAATTCATTCTTTCATCCTTATTCCAGCATTCTGGCAATTTATCAACAGGCAGTGGTAAACTATTGTTCAAGTCTTCATTCGTTGCCATTTTTCACTCTCGTTAATTTCACATACAAGCAAAGTTAATTCATGAAATGCAAACTCTTAAAAATATTTTGCTATATAATTTAAATAAAGTCACTGTTAATAAAAATCATAGGTTACAAGATTTTCTAAAATTACTCATGAGTTCACTTGCTCATTTCCATAGAATTTTAAATAAAAATTGTATACCGATAGCGCACGATTATTTAGCACTTTTATTAGCAATAATACAAGACTTTTTATATTATCCTCAATGGAACGTATAATTCAATACAAAAGCTACTCTATTTTTCTTTTGTGTTTTACATTTTAAGAACCAGTAAGATAATGCCAGATGATACTCAACAACCGGTAATCTTTATAAGATAATTTTACTGTATGTACACGTGTGGATCAGCTGGTTTTCTGCTCTGGAGTAATATGCGTTCCTTACAGGTGAGGTTACAAACGTATTCCTGATTCTTTATGTACAATTTCTTGTAAACTACATTTATTCACGATAACATTTATTTTCGACAGGATCATCAAAGAGAATAAAAAAATAGTCCAATATGTCATGGCTACAGCGTGCTTTGAGATTGGGAGTCCGGATGTCAGTCTGCAAAAGCCAACAAAACTTCACAAATCACATCCAAAATGTTCAGCAGATTCTAAATAATAAGTTTTACGCAACTTCTGAAATACAGAGAAGAGTATTCAGTGACACTAATCCTAAATCTGAAGAAGATACGACGAATAATGAACCGGCTTCTAAGAAAGCAATAGGGAAACTTGAAGTAAAACTTCACCTGTCTTTTGTGTGTAAGCGATGTAAATCAAGAAACAATAAGATCATCTCAAGATTAGCTTATACAAATGGTATAGTGATTGTACGTTGTGATGGCTGCAAGAACAATCATCTAATTGCAGACAATTTAGGATGGTTTGGTCACACAGAAGGCAAAATGAATATTGAAAATATTTTGGCAAAAAAAGGAGAAAAAGTTCGCAAGGTACAAAATGATTATGAAGGATATTTTGAGATAGTTACCGAGGAATTACTTAGCAAGATCAAAGAACAACAAAGGCAGGAAATGGAAAGAGAAATAATAGATAAAGCTGATGATTTACCAAAGTTGGAAGATGAACAAATAAATGTAAAAAAAGATAGCATACCTCAAAGTAATGATGATAATAAAAAAATAATTGTGTAAAAGTATATTGGAGTGACACTACATTTTGAAATATATAAATTTGCTGTAGGATAGTAAAAAATTTATTCATTCTGTTGTACATATTAAAAGAATCTAAAGTGATGTAATATTTTATTCGACTGGAGGTTGAACAAGATTTGCCTGATTCAAACAAACATTACAGATCTCAAGCTGTATTAAAAAGTTTGTAAGCAAAAACACTTTCAGAAGACTATTGAAATCATTATAATAAAATCATTCAAAATTGTTATTCATTCGTTGCAAAACTTGTTCATTGGCACAATATAATAGAGCAGATTTATTTCCTTGATAATAAAATGTAAGAATACATTGCATTTATTGGTTGGCATCTGGTTTTATGCAATAAAAATTGTCAATATTGAAAACTGTAAACTTAACGATAAAAAATATCCGTTATATTTTCAATTGGATAATGAATATGACTCATTTTATTAAATTTATTATTAATAATAGAATACGTCTTTGATTTTTAAAATATATCATTCATGGAAAAACCATTGCTAATATAAGAATATTGACAGCTCAACACGCCCTGTATTTTATGTTATGAATAAGATTCTCTCAACGGAATTTCGTATTTTATGACATATCGTACAGAAATCCACTTTAACGAATGATATGACAATATTGATCAATGGTCTTTTCTGTAGCTATAACTTTAGAAGTCATTCTTTGGTCACACCTGGAACCGTATCTCTAAGAATTTTTTACCATTCGTAAAGCTATATGTATGTGATGCACCACTCTTTGATTAAGTGTAAAACTAAAAACAATAAAAAATATATACTTAAAAAATAATGTGATTTCTTTGTGTGTGTGTATGTATATATACCTATACTTAATTAATTAAACATAGAAACCTGTAATCAATTCAAGGAATAACTAAGTACGCCGTATTATTTTGGGAAGGCACAGGATCTGATAGAAATTTTGTAAAATTTGGTTTGACTAATCACTTAGTATTAGATTAATAATTGTATAATATTAATAAGGCACTAGATCTGAGTTTTGATCAGTCGAGAATTAAGTTTAAAAATAAAAAAGAAATATAATTGGAACGTAAACAGAAAAATTTCTTCTGTCACAAATTGACTCACACAATTTTCGACTAAAAAAGATTGTCCGATTCCTGTGCTACACACTATTGGAATATATCCTAATGTAATTAATCTATGTGATATCAAATGATCACACAATTTTCATTAAATTATACTTTCTTAGGTTTTGATACGATTGCATATTCAGTTTCGTTGTAAACTTTATGGATGGGTTTCACAGCATTGTCTGCCGACGTGGAAGATGTGCTAGGGGCGGAAGGCATCGTTTTTTTCCTAATGATTCCATAACCGAGGTGACTATCATCGGCAAGTCTAATGGAACTCATATTATCAATAAAATCATAATCATTCCAGGAAGGATGAGACTCGAGAACAGGGATCGAAACTGTAGTGTTACTATTAGATTGAGAAGCTTGTGAACTGCCCTGAATATTAGGAGTCTTGTATCCAGGATTATGATTCAGTTTGTGAGTAGAGCCAAAATACTGCAATTTATCGTAGTTAGGTGGATCAGACGAGCTGGATACGTTATTGTGTATAATAGGAGAGATCGGGGTTATTCCTTCTAGAAGGGTTTCTTTATTCTTCGTTGAAGCTTGCGAGGTGATTGTAAAGTGTGGCATTGTTTCGTATTGAGATTCATCGTCACCTTCGTCATCGTTAATGACGTTACTAGAACTCAATGGCTTGGGTCTTTCCATATGCGGAACACGATCAATTCCGTGAGTCTTCCATGCGGCGTTTCTTACTTCGACCAGGTCGTATCTGTGTTTATCCTCTTCCACAGAAGTCGTGTCCCAGGTGCTTTTCGTTGATTGTTCAGGTGAGGTCGATGAATTTAGTCTTCTGCATTTACCGCATGCTGATAGGTCTGCAAATTCTGATTCTCCTGACTTTTTTTCAAGCAATGCTGTGATCATATGCTTTCTTGGTGGTTTTGTTGGTTTTGGTTTGATGATTGGTGGTGGTGGTTTAATGAAGGAAACAGAATCTAAACTAGATGATGAACAGTTTAGATGTTTCTGTGAATTTTGGGATATCGTTGAAAAGTCTATATCGATCAGATTAGCAGAACTGTTTGGAGATGGTGGTAAAGGCGATCTGGAGCCTGCTTCCATAGACATTGCTGCATGGTATTGAAGATCATTGCAATCTATATTCGGACTTTTATCACAGCTGAGAAATGTCATTGTGTTCTTCATAGATTTCATTTTTGTATAAATGCAGCGGAATATTTCCTGCTGATTACTGTGCTCCAGACGAAAGGAGCCTTCACCAGATTCACACTTTCTTCCTGCTTCGAATGTAAATTTTCCTCCTCTGTAACCGTATTTTCTGATATATCTATATGGCCACGTATATAACAATACTTCCCCATCCATCAGTTTCATATCTGCAGATGCCACGATTAACGTATAACTTTTATTCTCCAGACCACAACGTTTTGACGCGATTGTTTCAACGACTTTTACAGAAAATACACTATGTCCACTTGTGCAATAAAGATCATTGTCTTCCTCTATAGTTTGATTTGATATATTGTCCTTAAATGCAACTGACTGAAATGCAGTAATCCAATTGGTCATATCTGTCTCCGAGGAGCAACCAAAGTGATGTACACCTGATTTTGTAACAACCTAATAGAAAAAAAATAGATGGATGTTTTATTTTTTAAGAGATTTCATCTTATTCCTTGTTAGAAAATAAAAAGGAAAAATGATTTACTATACAATGATATTCGTTTCATTATACATATTCATAGAAGTTCTCTTATTACATATGTAATCTTGCAAGTACTATTCTAGCTACAACTATATTCAATATTTTACTCACAGTGAAAACATGTGATTGGTTGCTGGGTGCAATCTTAACGCAAGCTTCCAGTGTGATGATACGAGGAGAATGTTGGTGCAACACAGCCTCATCTTGATTATCATATATTTCCAGTCGTTCGATTCCATACTTGCTAGCATTGAAAAGTTGACAATACCTTTTATGCCATGTTTTCTATAACAAATATTGAAAACAGAGAAAGTAAAGAAAAATGTAATACTATCATAAACTAAATATTGTTTAGTATAAGCGTTGATATATAGTATATAAATTAGTAAAATTAATATATTGTATAGAGAAACTAAAAGTATGTAATAACCTTTATAACAGTAGTCAAGATTAACAGCTCTATAAAAGTTTTGAGTATATATTGTTACTTGGTAACTAAAAATAATGCATGTAGCTAAAGACACAATAATTTAACAGACTCTCGCATTATTAGAAAGCCTAAGCACGCGCAATAAATGACAAAATAAACTTTCGCATCATCTTGAAAAGGATGTGACATTAATCGGCGTAACGTCAAAAGTTCTAAATAACTTCTAGGTTAATTACAGTCCCATTCGTCGGTGATTTCAAACAAGAAATATGATAGTACATATCATGCGGCAAAAGGATATGAATTTCCTTTTGCTGTGATAAATATAAAGTAGCTATCCCGTTTATCGTACAATTAACCAACCTTGAGCTGACCAAGCATTCCCTGTGGAGGAAATAATAAAATTCCTTGTATCAAAGGCTCCTCGGGCTCCATGATTTGTATAGAATGTAGATCGAACCTAAAAATTATCACTGTCCTTTTTCTTTTCTGTTTCGAAAAAAAAGGATCTTTTCACTTTCACTCCACTGTACCCTCGCGTTCTCACTCCTTTGCATTCACTTGCTCTTTCACTGTCTCTATCCTACCGTTTGACAGTTTCAGCGTAGCTAGTCAACCCATTGTAATTTTCTGGATCCTGACAACTCGTGAGACAGAAACGTGTATTTTCTATAAATCATTGATATACTATTTGGCACAATATTTCACAGTTGAGAACAGCAGGAAACATATAAACTTCATGTATTGTGTATATATATATCCAACAGACTACAGACTACGGAGCGCGTGTACTCCTACAACAGATTCTCGACACGGCGGAGCGCACGATTTCTGTACGCACGATGATAGCCGAATTATCACGAACGATATGAACATCGTGTCAAGAACTCTCAGAGCCCCGACTATAGAAGCATTGTTTAGAACAGTATTAGATAATTGATATTAGTTTAGTATTAAATTCAAAGCGAAACAATTATCAAATTTCTACTTAATAATTGGATACTAATTCTTTTATGACACTCGTTTCGGAGCCCTTAAATTGATATGCCTTTTGTTTAATAGTTAACATTTCAACAAAATACTAATTAGCGGAATTGAATATTATAATTGCTTGTTATATCTTAAGATTTTGTAATAAAATATTTTTCTGAGACTCCAATCACACGCGAGCGTTTCGATTACATCCCTAGCCTATAGATTCGATCGAATTGTAATTATTTATTAGAATTCCGACCTTTTCAATCCATTTTGTTCTAATCGAGATCGAAGCTGGTTCGTGTACAATAACGTGGCCTAGAATGGATTAAAAAGACGCAATATAATGGAAAATTATTCCAAGTAATGAAGTGATTAATTATTCATTATTATATCCGTATATTAGTCAGTGAGAATACATACTGTGCTTTAGTTCAGCAGGAAAACATGTTTCTCGTACTTCTACTGTTTATCAGTGCTCGTATCGCGTATGGATTCAATGACTTTCCATCGCTCACGACTGCGAATGCTACTATGGGTATGTTCTGATTTTTAATTAATTTGACACCCGAGTTAAACAAATACATAAATCATACTGCACTATCTTCAACAGCGGTTATCATCGAAGAGAATTTCTTCAAGGATAAATCCTATTATGATTGGACATCAAAAGAAGTTTATAATTTTATATTTAACGGTGTTAAGGATAATATGAAATTTAGTAGTATCGATTTTCATATCTTCCATAATGTCGATATTAGTCTCAAAAGAGGTAGGGATACAATTTTTTTATTTTCAACTATGCTTTAACTACAATTAAATTTGTATTGTTCAAAGATTATACTGTGTTGCTATCCATTGTTACGTGTGATGAAACATGGCGGTTATTTAAAATCGCGCAGAAGGAGCATCTTGTTCATTTAGCAATAACTGGTGAGTATAAGTTGAAATATATTAAACTGGATAACGGTAGATGATATCACTTAGATATGCATATCTCTTACCACTAACATCCTTAAAGATTCGGATTGCCCACGACTTCCGGAAAATGGTGGAATAAGTATACCTATGATGCAACCGGGCGAGGAGTTGCCCCAAATTCTCTTGGATTTAAGGATGAGCAAGGCGTTGAATTGGAAAAAAATAAATGTCTTACATGATCAAATCCTTGGTAAAATTATAAATAGAATATTGGAAAAAATTAAATATATTCAAGTATAGATATGTTTCTAGAAGCTTGTAATTTCAGGAAAAGATACGATCAGCAGAATTCTCATGGTCTTTTCGAGAGAGTTTGAAAAAAATTTGGAGTTAGCATCTAGATCAGTTTTTGCAATTCAATACAAAGAAACTGATTGGGCTCGTAGGCAGCAGCTAGTGAATATACTTTCCGGATTTGATGTAGATCAACTTGGAAATTGCTTTTTGGTCTTCACCACAGCAGACATGGTTGCGGTTATCATGGAAGTGGTATTCCTATTTTTATTAAGTTAAAAAATTTCTTCTTCGTCATCTTATCACTGCATTTTGTTGTTGCAGGCACGATCCTTGAAAATGGTTAATACATCTAGTCAATGGCTTTATGTCATAAATGATGCTAGCGAAAGAGATGTTAATATAACATCATTCAGCGAATTATTAGAAGAAGGGGAAAACATAGCTTTCCTTTATAATATAACAAACAAAAACAAAACGTGCAGTGTATTGTATTCATCGTCATTTTTTAAAAGAAATATGTCAGTTTAAATACTCACAATGAGGTAATACTAAAGTAATAAATAATTTTTGTATTCAGATTAATTTAGACTGTTATGGCAAAGAAATTATTAGAGCATTGGCAATCACTTTGGACAATGCTTATGTCAAAGAAATTGAATTGTACGAGCAAGTTACTGACGAAGAATTTGAGATCGTTCGCTTGACCAAGGCTGAGAGACGGCGTGAGATCATCGAAAATATGATTGTAAGTAATTTTTGCAAAATCATATGTGCAAAGCCATACAAGATTAACAAATACCATTATTTTTGACAGAAGGAACTTTCTTTGGAAAGAACAATATATGGCGGTAGCTGCGGTCAGTGTTTATCATGGAAAATCACAGCAACAGTTACCTGGGGCACGTCATTCATAAGTGAGAATGAAACGATCGGACAGCTTATTGATTCTGGATTTTGGTCGCCTGGAATTGGACTGAATATGAATGATGTTATATTTCCACATGTGCAACACGGTTTTCGTGGAAAGAAATTGCCAATGGTATCCTATCATGTAAGTTTACCTTGGCACTTAAAAAAAAAAAAATTGAACTTGATACAGAATAAAATAATAAAATCTTACAGAACCCACCTTGGCAAATAGTTAGTCATACTGAAAGTGGTGAAGTTCAATATACTGGATTAATCTTTAATATTATCAAGCATCTGAGTGTAAAATTAAATTTTACATACACCGTGGTAACGACGACGAACGCACGAGATACCAAAATAGCCAATCACACTCGTCATGTTAAAATGTTACAAAAAGTAAGTAAATTTCAATGTACTCGATTATTCAGCTTAAACGCACCAGCTGAATATGATTTTATCATAAGAACTAAGTAGGGGCGCCAAAGGTGATGCGTTTGGACTGAATAATCCGGTATATTAACCAACATAAATACTGTTTCCAATGTTTCCACTTTTTCAGACCATAGACAAAGTTTCCGCATCGATAACCAATAACGTTCCAGATGCTTTGATAGAGTTAGTGCGAACAAAAAAGGTTTTAATGGCTGCATGTGTATATACTATTAGCGAATACCGGAAGACTCTCGTCAACTTTACAATACCTGTATCTATCCAGACGTACAGTCTTCTAGCTTCCAGACCAAGACAGTTGTCCAGGGCATTGCTCTTCATGTCCCCATATACCAAGGAGGTTTGAAGATTCTTAACAGCACAGTAAAAATTCATATAAAACTTAAGTACTTCTTACAATTAATTATTTCCTGTATTCAACTGGCAATATTCTCGCTCATATCAGTACCGAAGCCATGAAGTACTAAATTACCAAGAAATAAGAGAAGCACAGTTTATAGCGTATATAGTAGTGCATAGTGCAAAATTCTTAACTGTGTACTTTTAGACCTGGGCCTGCCTGAGTGCTGCTATTATCATAATGGGACCAATTTTGTACCTTGTGCACAAGTTCAGTCCTTGCCATATGAATGTGCATGTGGCTTCAGGCTTGAATTCACCTTGGAAATGTACGTGGTATGTCTACGGTGCCCTTCTTCAGCAAGGTATACGACCTTCTCATTCTTCGAAGCAGAACATTATTGATTATCATTGTACAGGCGTTCCTAAAAAAAATCATAAATTTGCAAACAGTTAATACCACCTGTATACAAATCCTGCAACTGCTTTAACGTTAAAATTGAATGACCTTATCATAAGGAACTTTCTCTTTCAGGTGGGATGATGCTACCTTCTGCAGATAGTGCTCGCCTACTTGTGGGAACCTGGTGGCTTTTCGTCATGGTCGTCATAGCAACGTACTCCGGAAACTTGGTTGCCTTCTTAACATTCCCAAGGATGGATGATTCGATTACCTCTGTGGATGATCTCCTTTTGCGTGACGGTCAGGTTACTTGGGGCTTTCCCAATGGCAGTTTCCTTGAGAATTATCTACGTGATGCCAACGAAGTAAAGTACAGTAGATTATTGGCTGGTGCTGAAAGACATAATTCATCCGAGGATCAAGATATTATCAGAAGAGTTCGCACAGGGACACATATTTTAATTGACTGGAGGAGTTCGTTAAGATTTTTAATGAAACGCGAACTCCTGTCTACCGGCGGGTGCGATTATTCACTTAGTTCAGAGGAGTTCATGGATGAGCCAATAGCCATGATCGTGCCTCAAGGAAGTCCATACTTGTCCCTTATTAATAAGGAGTAAGTATTACAACAAACTATTCCTATGGAATAACTATATATCAGTTCTTCAAATTCAGAATCAAAAGAATGCACGAGACTGGTCTCATTCATAAATGGACAACAGACTGGATGCCTGTCAAGGATAAATGCTGGGGAGGTCCTGGCATCAATCAAGAAGCTAATAATCACAAAGTCAACATGAGCGACATGCAGGGTATTTTTTTCGTCCTGATTATAGGTAAAGGTGTAACAATTGAATACGAGATCAAAAACAAACTCACTTTCATTCATGGACAGATCAATAAGCGCAGCATCCGTCCGAGTAATTCATCATGGAAAACTGTCTTTATTTCATAATCATACTTTGATCATTGTACAACATCCGAAATGCATTGACACACTTCACTTTTTGTTGATGACATCCTCGCATGATCATCCTATCATTTATCACATCCGTAATTGCGTTTTCTGAAACATTAAATATCACTGTTAACCTACGATTACGTACATTAAAAAAAATTGAAATGTAAAGGAACAAATATTTCGTTTCAGGAGTCATACTAGCAGTGACAATGTTAACCTGCGAATTCTGTTGGTACAAACGGAAGGTTGCCAGTGAACGGAAGTTGATACGCCCTTTTGTCCCTTGATCAAGTAATTCAACGTTGCTGTCCAAAGTTTGCGTCGATTTCATGATGTGTCTGTAAAAAGCGAATAAGAGGTACATAAAATGTCAGAAAACGAGAGGAAACATAAAAAAATTCGTTCTCATTAGTTTATTTTACTGACGGCAAATGTTAATTGGAATTGTGAGCCACTAACGTTAAGTACCAAAGTAGTAAGGATAAGACCCGTGAAGCAGTAGTACTGTAAGAGAAATAGACAGCAGCATGTCGTACCAATAATTGGATTCGCGCGATCCTAGGTAATTGTCAGTGCGAAATAATTGTAAGGCTCATTGTTCAGCAATCGCAATGTATTTAGCAACGATAGAACGAACCGCCGTGGTAAAAGTCATGAAATTACATAACGGGTAATGATTCTCCCACCTCGTAACCAGGTCTTCGCATGGCGTGCCACCTTATTGCGTTACGGGCATGTTAATAAATGAAAACGGCAACTACGTAGCGATTAGTGCGCCTTGGCTACGGCAGCATTGTAAACAGAGTTTAATTGTCGTTCTCGAAGGGTTAATTGTTATTTTAAAAAAAAAAAAAAATTGCAAATCAACGGTAATTAATAAAAATTCAAAATTTTAAAATTTATTCGTGCTACTGTGTACGATAAAAGAATTGACAAAATTATACGAAAAAAAAATAATCGTACGTCTTAATGGAGATGTTAGGGAACTGTAAAACTTTTTTTGACTTTTATACTTTTTCATCAAAGATCGTATCGAATTGAAATCATAAGAACGTTAAACTGTACGTGCTAGATTTACCGGTGCTCGATTGAACGATCGTTCAATCAGGATTGGAGACTCGTGAAAAAAAAGTTGAGGAATTGTGAGAACAGGTATAACAACAGTGCTTAAGTATCGATCATATATATATATTCAGTGATAAAAAGGTCCAGGTGAATAGTAAAGATGACGTAAGAAGCAGATCGATAAAAAATTTAAAAAGAAAGATCGATCGTGACTCGAGATGAGATGAGATGATTGTTATTCTTGTTCGAACGGTACTCCAGCTGGAATATAATATATCTATTGGACTTATTGTTTGCTCGTTGTTGTGATCCAATCACTGGAATGCCTTAGGAATCCTAATTAAAGTCGAAAAGGATCAAATAAAATAGTAACGCAGATTTTAAGACGTTCTGCACTATTCCTTTCTTATACCTTGCTTATGTTTTCTTTTGCGTGACAAACTTATCGACGATTTTTCGCATTTGAGTATTTTCCTCGATTACCTTTGTATGTATCGTTTAACAGAGGATACTTTTAGTTATAATAATCTGGATGTCCTCACTCCACATTCCATTAAACCTTTGACTTTAACAGGCGAATTTCCGGGATCCGCGACTCATTCACTAATTGGTCACAGGAAATTGAATGCACAGAGTTAGCCTCGTTCAACCCTATATATCGTGTATAGATAATCGAATTTCTATAAATGATCCATTACCAAGGAAAAATAACGAACCAATTGAACATGCTTTTATAATTTATAACGGAAACTATGCACTGGTCTTTAAAATTATATTTACAGTAATACTTGGATATAAAAATTACCAGAACGATTGGATACAGGTATCCGAAATTTAATGGTAAGCTCTTAACGAGCCAGACACTTTTGCCTCTGAAAAAAATAACGGGCCTCGTTCAAAGAGAATTCATGGGGTTGGTGTATGTATTTATATACATTTTTTTAAAGCCTGACTAATTCGGTACAGCGATCCACAGACGAATGGGAGTCTAATATGTAAATTCACTGCGGAACGGGGAGAAATGACTGCGTGAAATGATGGTATGGGGTTATCTACCTGACGACCTTGCCTCTTAAAAAAGTCCTACCGAGTCTCGCGGGCCCCGCGGCAAACTACGCCAGTTCCGCCGAAGAGTCCGCCCGGCCAAGACTAATCCCGATAGACAGTCCCAGTCCCAGACTTAGGGACTATGCACAGACGTTGATTCGTGATACTCATTATACGATACGCCTGGCTGGACGCTTAACGAGTAAATGTGATCAGTGCGAGAGTGATAAGGAATAAATAAAAAATTTGTAGTAAAAAAATGGAAATTACGCTACGGATTATTTTACTGCAACGTACGTAAATATATTTGATTGTATATATATGTATATATATTATATATTGTGTAATAATGCAATAATACATGTTGATTATATTAATTTTTGAGTATTTAAATGTGATTAAAAAATGATGCTTTTTTAATTTTTTTACGTAATTTAGTTACGTCCATTCTCGTTCGTGCACAATACAACGGGGATACTTTTCCATTATGGCTAGAACCCGTCATTCAACGTCCTGTCGATATCATGACGGATGTTGTTAATGATCTAGGGGTGAGAATCCTCCAGCAATATACCAATGACGGAAACGTCGCGTTCTCACCAACCGGTGCTGGATTTGTTCTCGCTGCACTTTACGAGGGTTCCGCTGGCAGAGGAAATGAAGAAATCGCGGAAGCTCTAGGTCTGCCGCGCGATCGAGATATCATGAGAGTTGGTCTTAGAGACGTTCATAGGAGACTCAGAGTGAGTTTATTTATGATTACAAGGAAACAAATAATCCTGAACGTCAACCGATCCAATCAGATTACAAGGAGTAGCATAGAATCGTGGGACAATTTTATCGCGAGTAACATAACCTTATTGTTGGTACATTCTTATATTCGATACCGTTATTCATTCTCCTAATAAAAATGTACATTGAAATTGAACTGAATTATTCTGGACGTAAACTTAGCGTTAATAAATCTGATGAAATTTACTTTTCAAGAGTTACCTCAGCGCCGACGGCTTCCTGGGTGGTTTGACTTTGAACAAGGAAAACACGAAATTGCGTCCTGAGTACGAAGACATTTTGAGATTCTATGGCTTTGATTTGTCAAGCATTGAACCGGAAGAAAACAACGTGACTTCGGTCTCAGAGGATATGACGACTACGCCTATGAGCGTCTCTAGTGAAATTATTATAAACGAAACAACGACGACTGATGGACCAAGTACTGATGAATCGATGACGGATGCTCCAACGACTTTGATCAATCAGGAAAATTCGACGGAAACATCTACGAATGAGAATGTAGTTACCATCACACCGGAAGTATCGACCTCTGCTTCTGAAGTTACAACACAGCCTGATGCATCTTTAAACGTAACTGAAAGTCCTACGACAATGGCATCAAGTATCGAGGATTTTTCTGTAGTGACGAATTTGTCATCACTGCCTGAAAGAGTTACCGTTGCAACGACAATGCCTGTTTCTGTTACCGCAGAAACTGTAACAATTGCTTCCAGGTTTTCTGAAACAACTTTGAACAGTTTGGCAAGCATTAGCACAACTATCACAAGCCAGGATCAAAGTTCACTGACAACCGAAATCCCGTCTATGGAAAGTACAACAGCTGAAATTTCGACTGAGAATTCTACAACTGTTTCCACTACAACCGTACCAGCTACAACGACTGTCACGATTACAACTGGACCACCTACTACCTCAACACCTGTTCCTGATACGTCTGTGGAAACTTTACCACCTTTGACTACTCCTGGACAGATGGATAGTTCTGCAGCTATTGTATCCCAGACTACAATTACATCTACGAGCACAGAACAACCTACTACAAGTATCCCAGAAACTACTTCCATGGGAACTACCCCAGGAACTACAGCTGTTCCTAATACATCCCCAGCAGATACCACCTCTGCAGAGGATGCTTTAATTACCTCTAGACAACAAGTATCCACTACCATGATAGTAGATACTACCATAACAACGGATGCAGCTTCTACGGATAGTACCAGTATTGATCCAATGGCACTAGGTACTCCTAATTCAGAATCCATGTCGACGACCTTAGGAACAACGTCCACTATTCAGGATGCGATAACAACAATGATGATGGACCCTACATCTGACTCTCCTCTAGCTTCCCTTACTGCAAGTACAGATCCGACAACGAATTCTGCACCTTTGAATGAAGCCACTATCACTTCTCAAGCTCAAAGTAATCCGACGGTCACAGAGGATCCTGTAATGAAAATCTTATTAGAGTCCACTACTGCTTCAACTGACACAACAGTTGTGACAACAACTGGCGTGAACGTGAATAAAAATACTACAGAAATACCTGATATGACTAGTACTAGTCCAGCGAGTGATTCGACAATGACTATCCCTATGGAAACAACCTTACCACCGACAGAAAGTAGTTTGTCAGGTCAAATTCGTCGAAGAAGCACCAGGAGTCCCAGAGGATATTTTTCAAACTTTCCAGGTATATTGAGAAGTCATAAAATTTTATAGCATGAAAGACTTTGATAAGCTAGTTCTTTTTTTCTTATAGACGAAGGAATCTGGATGCAGGATCTTGGATTTTGGAGGGACTACATTCCTGGTACAGGAGAGGCAACTGTTCGAGATTCTACAGAGCTATCTTTCCTTGTAAATGGGTGTGACGTCACATCCGTCTCCGCAGCGGCTTACACAGCTGTTCTACCTTTCGCCTACCTACCCTCTATACAAGCTGTAGCTCTCGAGTTTCCTCTAGACGTTAGTTAATTTGCACATTGGTAGCACTGTGTCTGTACTCGGTTTAGCAAGGCCTTGGGCTTCAACGAAGTGGCTTCACGCCTCGAGTTTTCTGTAAAGGAAGTGGTACTCAAGGAAGTTTGCATTTCGACAATGTCTCTTCGATGAGTTGAAGCATCGCTGCGTGTAATAGCGATCCTCGAGTTCAGCAGCCGTGACACTCGTCTCCGTCTTTTTTTATTTCTTGGTGAAATTGTCATCAAGGATCACCTAAGTATCCGTGGCCATTGTCGTTAAGATTATGCATATACCTTCAATCTTTTTTTTTTCATTTAATTCTATATGTATAATTTTTTGCGTCACGACCTTCTACCACTTCCTTCCAGTTTCAGTGAAGTTGATCCTTTTAAATAATTCCACCTACCACACTTATTTGCTGAATTGATCATGATTTTTTTTAATTCGCGAAATTGAAAGAACGTCTGGACGAATTTATCAAATGCATCCAGACGTCTCTCCGCTTTCATCCTTCTGTCTAACTTGTCTGCATTGACATTCCGATCGGATAAGTTTACGCTAGGTTGTCGCACTCACTGAACGGACTGAATCACGTTTTATACCTTTCTTTTATACCAAGAGGAAATTCTTTTTAGCCATTGCAGATTACTGCTCGATCGTTGAACTCGCACAGCCCATATTATTTCTCCATTTACTCTGCAGTAGTCATTAACTTAGCGTGCACTCTTCTCGCTGCTGGCATTACGCTTTATTGCTCCATTTTATTTCTTATTCCTTTCAGGATCCGAGGTATAATATCCTTCTGCTTCTGCCTACTGAAAGAGGTGGTACTCATAGACTCTCTAGAGACCTTAGCACACTCACGATCAGACAGCTTCGAAGGGAATTGCAACCTACTTGGGTCAGAGCGACAATACCTAGTTTTATGCTAAGGGGGTTTGTCACATTGACACCATTTCTACAAAGGGTGAGTCAATTTTTCATAAAAATTAAAATTCAAGGTACAGTATATATTGGCACATCTCCTCATTGGAGGAGGCAGCCATAAGAAAAGGAAAGAAGGTACAGTATATAATTAGTCGTAAAAATGATGACCTCAACACGAATTAGTTTATGAAAATTATCCTAGTTAGACTTCCGGTTATTATCATAACGTTTATATGTATATACAATATAGTGTGTACCTTAGATATGTGGATACGTGAAACTCGTGCACGTAGGTGTTACCCAATTTTAAGCATTTAGTCCCGCACATTAAAGTTGTAATGTCTTAAGATTCCTCTTATCCTCGAAGACGTACACGAAACTTCTGACAAGATCAAACGTAAAAGCGAAGTTTATATCTATTAAGAAAAAAAGGAAGCTGATGACGAGTATCAAAGGAAATGTAGCAACGTTTAATATCGTGACAGTTTGAGGCTAACGGATCCCAATGGAAGTTCATACGACGGACACTGCCCTCTGTGAGTTTATCCGTAAAGAATAACCAACGATTGGTAAAAAGAAATAAGTTTAAGGTATTCGCAGCTTTGAATAAATTCAGGAAATGAAAAAAGGAAGACAGAAAAAAATCAATGTGCTTCATTCGTCTCGCGATACATTTGATTCTGTGAAGTTAGCTGAATCATCAAATTAGGACATCCTCATAGAGTTTTCATCCTGAGAATAGGATGTTATGTCCGGTATGCGTATTTCCGTCATTTAATCTTATAACGTGTCTGAATGGTTTTTTTTTTGTAATTTCTTACAGCTTGGTATCAGAGACGTCTTCGAACCAAGGTCAGCCGATTTATCACCCATGACTCCTGATCTGGGCGTCTACGCCAGGGATATACAGCAGAGCATTGGCGTGAATATAAGAAATTATATGAAACCTGATAGAACACACTCTCGTGAGTCGCTTTACTACGAACCTCCATTGATTCTACCAGCTCGCCGGAACTTTTACCGATTTCTACATCCAGGTTTTATTCTATGCTTTGTATATACTTTGCACTATCATTATCTCCTACCTTGTTTAGCATCATCTTTGTCACCCATAGGTATACATATTCTCATATGTTAAGGGTGGATTTTTCACTGTATTTTTTTTTTCAAAATTTTCATCCTTTCTAGAATCATACAGTAATACTCAATACAAAGGTAAATATTACCTATCCCCGCTTTCTCAGTACCAAGCGAAGAGGAACAAATGCTTACTAAATGAATGCTTTAATGCAATCGTTCAGTTATCATGTGAAATAATGATTTACTCATGCAATTTGCGTCCCCTGGACAATTCAAGAGTGTCTTTTTACGCGTGTTGAACACACAGTCGGCCATTACCGCCCATCACTGCTACAGCGCAATCCTATGTTAAACTTATTATTAGTTATTCTTTTTCCGTTTTTTTTTTCTAAAAAATCGTCATTAATAACAGAAAAGACGATACTGAACAACAATTATAACATTGTATAATTGAATTTCATTTTAATTATTAAAACTCAGTTTTTTTTTCGTACAAGCATTAGAACTGTCTTTTTTATTTTTAACACAAGGTGGCGACCTACTATTTTCCTTTTTATGGTAGGAAAAAAAAAATAATCCCACCTGTTAAACTCGATCTTCGTTTCTGTTACTAATCACCAACACTTTACCCAATTGTTTTGCATTTAGCACAATTGTTAACTAACGGCAAGGATAACGTTTACAATTGAGAATTTTCTCAGTATTGTTATAAACTTTGTCGAAGTTAATGACTGATATCCGGCCTGACTCACTGAAAGAAATAGACACCGGTAAAGGCCTTGTAACAAACTGTCTCTATATAATATAACTGGAATTTCTGAATCATTGTATTTAAATTACTACGTGCAAGCCGACATTTTCTATTTGTTCACATCGCAACACGATTTTCCCTTTGGTAACATTACTTTGCGCACCATTATACAATAACTTTACTTTGATAACAACTTTGACAATACTTTCTTATCTCTTTCTCTCTCTTTATCTCTCTCTCTCTCTCTCTCTCTCTCTCTCTCTCTCTCTCTTTCTCTTATCCACATCGATATTCATTGATAAAATTGATAAAATTTTATATTATTAAATTTTATAATATTCTTGATAAAATTTTCAAAAAAAAATTATTTTATCAATACCGATATCGCTGTTACTTTTTTGCCTTCGAGAATACTTTCCAATATATTCATTAGACCTAATAGCTCCTGACTCATTTGCACTCTTTAATTACTATTAATTATAACAATGATTGTAACTAATAATAATGGCGCTGCCATGTCTAAGGTAATGATAACTCTTTTGTTATGCCATCATGCGTGAACGATGATACGTTCGCATTAATATTCCTTCATACAGAAAACTTATACGTATATGCCATCAATAATTACATGCAATGTGGTAACAAGCTTAATCATCTCTTTCCATGTTTTTAGGTAATGGCCTTTTCGAGAGGGCGGGACCAGTGTCCTTCACGGCTGAACATCCATTTTTATACTTTATCATCGACGCCCAAACAGCTGTGTCCCTGATAGCCGGTCGCATAGACGACCCCTTAAATTCAAGGATACTTTAAGGTCTTTGATGAATTTTTCAATGAAAAATATTCCAGATATTTGATATGAGGATTGCTGAAGAATTTCATACTGGGAATCAAAGCTCGTCTGAAAACGTACGAATTCACAAGCCGCTGACGAATCAAGATGGTACATTAGAATGACAATTTAAAGAACAAAAAATGGGATATACCCAGATATGTAATAATGGAATTATATTTATTTGACGTTGCTTATAAATAATAGCTTTGTATCGTATGAACAATTTTCTTCTTTTTTTTTTTTAATAAAACTTTAAACCTAACGTCTTTCTATAATAGTTCTATCGTAGGCACCTATCTTCAAGTATACATGTACGTTGTGCTCTGTACAAATTGGCGTGAATAGAAAGAAAAAAAGAGCAGGGGAAAGAGAAACTAATAAGAAAGACATAGGGAAGAAACTTATAAGAAAGGTGGGGAAACGAATTGGCTCAGGGACGATGAAACTCGATCGCAATTTCACTTTTTATTTGTTTTTTTTCGTACGCAAAGAATTATCATAAGAATCGTTTGCCGATCGAGACTCCAGTGAATAGGCAAGAGTTTAGCATTTACAAACCTTGCTACACAAGTACGTATACATACGATTTATATGCGTACGTGTATATTATGTATATATAGTTTCTCTGTCTTTCTACAGAATAACAGGAAAGACGCAAACAGTGCGTAACGACGTCTTTCGCAAAAAGGGCTCTCGTCACTTTTGGAAACGCTGTGTAGTATATATGTATATATCTACCTAGCTCACTATATTAAACGAATATATTATCATCTTACTCATATTTATATAAATACAGTTCGTACATCGCGCGATTGTCGCAGTTTATATAAATAAATTGTATAGATTTTAGTTTTCCGTTTCGAGCGTCCCGACAAATTCTTATAACTTAAAGCAGTATAAGGCGACGATCTTGGAAGAGGAGGGAATCAAAAAAAATAAACTGGGCATTTTTTATATTCAGAACACTCACGATACGTATCTCACTTTGAAAAATGTTCATCTCGCTTACTTCCACTAAACCCGCAGTGTCATTCGAGTATTTCTTATTGCTGAGTATCTTATCACTCACTTAGGATAATATCATTTCAGTCGCGATCTGAAACGAACGAGAAATCGTTTAAAAAATTCGTACGTTTTGGTATAGTTTCTTTTTCTTGGATTCTCGAATTTCGATTATTTTCCATGTCACTTAAAGATACAAAGATTCAAGAACCGACTCGAAGTAGTTGTCGCTGTCTTATTATTTTTTAGCTACGATTCCTGACTTTCGTTATTTTCCATAATCTTCTGTTTCCCAATATCCAGGAGCTTTCCTTTTAACTAGTCTTCCCTTCAGGTGACGTTTTTCTGTATCCATTGGACGAACTTGGAGATTCTTGTACAGACGCCCGGTAGATTTGCTTCGGCGCAACCGATGCCCCAGGATATTATTCCAGCGAGGAAATATCGACCGTCTTTACCGCGGACTTGAAGTGGTCCTCCAGAATCACCCTGAAAGCAAAGTCGAGTCAAAAAAAGAGTAGATGCTCCTTATCGCGATAAGACACGATACCGTCTAATATTTTGTGAAGAATTTATTATGCCAACGAGAAAATGTAAATGAGTGGTACCAAGTGGACCATCTTGAAATAGGGAGAAACATATTTTATACAATACAGTCGCTGTATGTTTACTCGGCAAGTAAATACATTATTTGCCCAAATAAAAATAAAGTATACCTGGCAAGAATCCTGTCCTCCACTCTCATACCCGGCACAGAGAAAAATCTCAGGAATGAATTCGTGTCTTCCAGCCCGTAGGAACATGGACTTGCATTTGTCATTACTAACAATCGGTACGGAGACCTGTAAAGGTTATGAAAAATTAAAGTAACTGATTAAGAAATCTGTTGAAATAAATCCGAAAAATCACCTCTTGTAAAACCGATGGTAACGTGCCACCCTCGCTGAGCCTACCCCATCCGGTAACAGTAGCATTCTCCCCTATCAAGAGATCATCTCCAGCCGGTAGGCAAATCGGTGCTATGTGCGGAGCGAATGTCAATGAACTCTCGAGCTTGACAAGAGCAAGGTCATACTCGTACGTGAAAAAATTATACTTTGGATGTACGACCTTCTTAGCGACCCCTCGTTCAACAAAGGGGTAAGGCTCTTGTAGCGACGAGAAGTCATACTCTCCCACGCGTATCCGTATCTGGGACGTTAACAGACTGTAAGTTGAAATAAAAATGCATTATAAAATTGAATAGTAAAATGACCTTTAACCCGGTACAAAAAACACTTACTCGTCCACGCAGTGGCCTGCAGTCGCAATCCAATTTTCGTTTAGCACTGCCCCACCGCAACGATGAGTACTGGAGAAGCCAAAGAACGACGTTCTGCGCACGGATACCTGCCACGGCCATCTTCCAAAACCAGTGTCCTTGCCACCGACTATCCTGGTCTCAGGATGTGGAAATTGCGACTGTAGGCCGCAAGGCATGTCCCTGCCTTCGGTTCCGGCGGAAACGGTCTCTACGTTCCCCGATTTAAATGCTGTTTGGGGTAAGGTCTCACTGGTGGGACTGGTAGACATTGCGGTGGTTGTAGTTGTTGTAGGTCTTGGAGTAGTAGTTGTTGTTGTCGTGGTGGTCGTTGTGGTGGAGGTTGTAGTGGAGATCGTGGTCTTCTTTGTAGGTCTTGGCTTGGTCGAAGTCTCGATATAAGAGGTCGTTATGTAGTGGGCTGAACCGAGTGGCTTGTGGTACTCGGAATTCTAATGGCGAAAATAGATAAATGAGAATAAATTATAAGTCACTACCTATGAAAGCTTCGACGATACATATGAGAGTGCATAGACGTTACGGTAAAGTAACAGTTGTAAAAGGTATAGGCTGCTACATCTTGGTAAGCCCGAGACTAGAATCTCAAAGGAATTAAACGATATCTTCTCGGGTATGGATAAATGACGTAACTAAGGGTAAATTATAACGAATGATTAAAGTAGATCTAAGATTCTCTTGTTGGTCGGTCTCGTTTACTCCAGAGCATGGTCAGGATGAAGAGGTTAAAATTTCCTGTAAGAAATCCGGTCGTGGCTTCAAGGCTAATTATAAATTATTACAGTATTCGTGAAATGATTTTCCATAAATATCGCCTATAGATTGGCTATCATTAATGTCTATCAAGGTCAATGGGAGTACATACTTCTTGCAACTCTGTTGGCTTGAAACTTGGACGATGAGGAAAATTCTCTGGACCATTTTGCAACAAGCTAGGATTGTCGGTCCAATGAGGTTTCAATGACGGTTTAGGTGGCTTCCAACTATTTTCCGACCAAAAATGATTACTGGAACTTGATGGTCTCGTTGTTTCCAATATGGTTACAGGCTTTGTTGAGGAGGGTCTTTGTTTGGTTATGAATGCTGGTTCCGTGGTTACTTGCCAATGTACAGTCTGAGATACGGATCCGGCTGCGCTACAATGAAATGAAGTTTTAAGTGGCGTACAGAATGAAATCTCTTATCGCTTATGATTCTTTCATATTTTTATCTAAACTAGAAAATCTTAGAATAACTAAGTACAATAACGTGCACATCGTTAAATTCCCGTTGTACCGGGCACGTTAGTAGGTAAGTCGGAAATAACGGAGTCACTCGGAAATGCTTATCGTCCTGGAGTCAAGTCGATTGTCACATACCTGGTGGACTGACTACTGTAGTAAGTTGGTCTCGTGGTCGTGGGAGACTTGTCAGGACTGTTCTGGTTATCTGGTTTTGAGACGTGACTGCTTCCGGTGCTGGTTGACTCGCTTAGAGCGACGGGACGATAAGTCGTCGTCTTGATGGAAAAATATGGTTTTGAATAATCAGTTGGTTTGTTGGATGCAGCTGGATTAGTCGCCCATTGAGGAGGTTCGGTGTGAATGAAGTTTAAGCTTGGATGGGAATTCTCGGCAGGTTCCTGATAAGATAGATTTTTCATTAATATCATAATGTCAACAGAGATCGATTAGTTTGATTATTTATTAATAAAAACTTACAGGTCCGTCCACGGAGTTGACGCTTGGTCGGTGTATAGTTTCTTGAACTGTCAAATCAGTGACTTCCGTTCCACTGTCATCAGGTCTTGATTCAGATGGCCTCTGGTTCAATCCAGGTCTGTAAGGCTTGAATTGCTGACCTTTATTAGCACTGACACCTTGATTTTTACTTGGTAGCCTAATCAGCAGGGTATTATGAGTATCGTCAATCTTGTCCTTAAATCCTTGATTACCCTGAACATTCCCCAAAGTGCTTGAAGCGGTAGACAGATAATCATCATTATGAGGCCTTGTTTTCAACACCTGTTGATGACTCAGTAAACTAGTCTGAGGTCTTTTAACACCTTGGGGACCATTATCCCAAACATGCGGATCATCTTCGAGGACGTCCGAAGACTGAAGTCTGTTGTCCTGATCAGAAGTGGGTTTTGAGTGAGGTCTCTTCTGCGAGGGACGAGGCAAGCTGCCGGATGTGGGTTTGTGTGGCCTCAGTGTACTTCCGGCGTGGTTCTGGGATGAGTATATTGCAGGTCTAGATGAGCTTGGTACAGTCTGCACGAGACTTGATAGCGACGTCAACGTTGGTCTCGTTGGCTCATCTGTCAGTGCATCGGCCAATGATGGCCTCAGTGTGTTGGGTGATGACACCTGCTGCGAGTTTATGCTGTTTGACGTAGAATTGTGCACGCAACAGCTACCAAACATGAAGGTGTCTACACATACGCCAACGTGCGTGCCTTCGGACTTGATGCATTCCCATACGAACATGCAGGTGCCTTCGTTGCCTTCTGGACCAGGTACTCTGCATGGCTTTGGGCTGATCTTGTAGCCTGAGGAGATAAAGAGATATTCAGTGCCTATTTATTTACATATCTTACTGATAAAATTACTAATAATAAACCGGACACACATAGGAGACTCATGAATGGATGAGCTCATGCAATTCCAATAGGCAACCATAAGTGCACGTGGGTAAATATGTCAAACTGGGGCTAGATGAAAAATTTGAGAAATTTTGGAAAATTGGTTCACCATGTAGGGTGAAATGGAAATGCTGAGAAAAGAAAAGAAAAAAATTATAATTGCAAAAAGAAATGTGCAAGTTTGCATCATTAACGCGGTTTATGTAGGTTAATTAAAACGTGACTGGCGATAACAAGGGCGCTAAATGTCCAGTATGTAAACGCGTGTCTCACGTACTAGAGACTGAACAAAGAAGATTGAACTAGACGTGTGAAAAACTCAAGAGAAAACTGCTACAAAATTTCTTAAAGAAGACTAGAGCTTCAGATGTTAAAATTGTCAGTTTTCAACTTTGTCACGGCAAACATTTAAATTTTAATTTTCTCAGATTCTCAAAACGACCAACTACCCAACGACCCTGGTCCTCTCCCAATTAACATTTTCATGTCTGACAATGCGAATTCAAGTTCCAGGCCGTGAAGTTAATCTTTCGTTTATCCTCAAGAGAGAAAAAAAATTTCAAAATTGTCCCATACCACCTAAGAAGTTAGATAAAAAAATAAAATACTAACTGTGACCTCGATTCAGGGAGCTGAGGGACCTGGCGATGCCCGACCACCAGAGTATTGTAGCCACGTAACCGATCCACCGCATCCTGATCCCTGAAAGCAAGATGAGAGCACAGGTTTTTAGCCTCGGCAAGTGCGTTTACGCGTAAGCGTGGGAGCGAAGAGATTGAAGGTTTCGCGGCAAAGGAGTGAAACGTAATTTATGGCCAAAAGGGTGAGAACCATTGGCATATATATCTATAGCTGTAACAATATAGGTTAGGGCGTCGGCGGAGGAGGAGAACGCGTAGCGTGATAGCTGGTAGCTAACGGAAGGAAGGTGGGAGGCAGAAATTAAGAGGAAGAAACTCGAGAAAGAGAAGAAGATACGAACATTGATCTACCGTAACCGAGCCGGATTTACACAGTGCATAAACCCTGTAAAATACCCTTGTGTACGTATACCGACACGTAGACCATAAATACTGCCATCTTGGAATTCATAATCAACTGTCTTTAGTTACTTCGTAAATCACAGGATTACGCGTAAAGTCTCGTATAGATAGAAATTTATTGGGAATCCACGTACGAGTAAGTAAATAGGAACGCAACGGTACTACCAACGAAATTTGAATTGACCTGCGATTTGTCTTTTTATGTGAATCCATATTGAGTAACAAGACGAATTATGACGATGAGGATCTCCAAGGATGACGTACCGATTCCCTAAGGAACGCTCTCGATCTAATTTAAAGGGACGACTCGAATGAAAGTATAAGAGTCATCGGCTATAAGGATCTCGACCAATCGGAATGATTAGTTCTCGAATTTGACTATTCTCAATTTACCTGACGCTTACTCCGACTCTCTCTACCTGAACCTAGCAGCCTGAGCGGCCGTACGTTTTCTATAGGTTCCGTCAGAACTCTCGTTTTTGATGTAGTTCAGACTGTTCCACCTCAACTCCCAGGTAATACCGGCTGGTCAGGTCCCGGTGAAAAAAGAATTGGCTCGCGCCCACCTGGTATGCGGACGCATGGATGAAGGGTGGACGGCCGAAAGTGACGTAGGTTAGTTCTCGGATTTTCGTTATCAGAGTCGAATTAAGAAAATACGTTATAGTGTGTGTATATATATATATATATATATAACATGCCACCTGTACTTTGACTACTAATAAGCATACCATAGTGCTATACGCATGTTCCTTATGCGCATCAGCATTCGGAATTCCTCAGGTCGTGCTACTGCACTTTGATACCAACTTGGTATATATAGTACACAAAGATACGTCAGTAGGCAAGGATATTAATTACGGTTTATTGCGCTATATTGAATTCCGCTATGTTATTAACCATCGCAAAATATAATCTCGAGGAAATGAAATTCCACGAAATGTATCCTTGCGCTCGAGGTGTTCCAAGGAGGCTGATAAGTATCTTGAGATTTCTGATAACGGCCAAGGTCCCCAGCGTGATTTAATGGAAATCGATTAGGTTTCAAGAAGACTTCGTTAAGCGAAGTTGTTCAGCTTCTGTTTATCCGGATAAGAATCTTATCACGGCTTCATCCTCTCGTCGCAGTTTCTATCCCCCCGAATTTCCTATTGTGCCACGTTGTGTTCCTGATTCCCGCGAATGCTTCTGTTCGTTGAACTAATCGAATTTTCCACATCTTATTGCATTTTCACAGAATATTTATTTCCTCGAAGAGGGAAGTCAGTTATCTTTATAGCTTTTCTATAGTCACTTCAATTTTCTTATTTCGTTGTAACTCACTGTGATGGGACTCTGTGACACGTGGCTGATCAACTTCTTCGCAATCCACTTGAGTGTTACGTAGGTACTTTAGATTTTTTTTCTCATTGACAGTCTTACCAACCGAGGCTACTGAACTGGCACGATCCGCATTCCTGACTTATTATCTCAGAATGATCCTGATCCTCGACGAATACAACTCCTGGAATCTTATCGGAATGAGACAAAAAGCTGATAAGATTTTTCAAAAATTCACGAATACCAAATGTCGATATTCCTATTTTAAATTTCAGTGGTATTTCAGTCCATATTTATTTAAGGTAATTTATCAGAAAATTTAATAAAATACCAAAGGGATTATTTTGAAAATCATTCAATTTTCATATATACATATGTACAATAAATCTTAAGTCACTTTTGGAATTATTCATAAATTCTTCCTTAATCCACCACATATCGACATCGAGTCATCCAGAATCCCTGGTAAAATACATATATGGCATTAAAACTCCCAGTTGAACATATATATATATATATATATATATATATATGATACTTGGCTCCAGCCAGAGATTCTTGACCTAGCCATGCGTGAATGATGGTTAACGATGCTTCGAGATACATTGACGCTCATACCCCTCAACATTACATTTATTCTCATAGCTCATTCTTATTCTCAATCTCGTATCTCATAACTCACTCTAATCTTTTATCCCATTCCAATTCTCATTCTCGATCCCATTCTCGTTCCCCTTGCTCGAAAATGTCGATCGTTCTGGAATTCAACCGCCTCAGGATGCATGCCCATCCTTGGCACACGTGTTCTCATACGTATAAATACATATATATATATACCCATATTACCTATATGTACATATAGTTATACATATCCACCGAATTCTCGATTCACATACTGGGTCAAGATTGTCGCGCGATCAATCACCTCTTAACTCCACATTGGAAATTACTGTCGATTATCCTCGACTGCATAATAAAGCAGAAACTAATCGCGCGAAATTGCATACAAGTGCAACATATTGTACGTTGGTAATAGTTTACTAAAAAAAAAAGTATGAATGCACTTAGGCATACTACTAGTATTGTATTCATTAGTAATATAATATATGTTAATTCGCCTCGTCGTGCCTCGAATAAGATAACGCGTACAATGTGGAATAAAGTTAATGCCAAGTGCACGGGTAATGGCTGACTGCGAGTTAAATTATTTTTTTTTTTAGAAAGTACCGAGTTTCGCAAAAGATTCCAGCTTGCGCGGAAGCCTATATATAAGGTTTAACGAGGAGAACCGAAGGTACGCTGTAATTTTAAGTGAATTGAAGAAAAAGAAAGAAAGAGTAAAGAAAAAAAAAAGAAGAAGTTAATGCACAGATGAAGACCGATGAAAAATACGTAACCGGTCACGCTGTCAAGACGAACTGGGTTAACGATAACGTTGGTGCAGTATCCGAATCCTACAGATGCCTAATTGCGAGAATCATGAGGCATTTGGATTCCACCAAACGAACCGCGCCGAATTCGAACAATAGTTATACGTTGTATGTAATATTGTCATTATATGTAAGTATACATATAATTAATATATATATTTAGTATAATATACGAGGCCATGACGAAATTACAGGATCGAATGAATCGGGTGACTAAAGAGATTGTCCCGAATTCAAATGGTACCGTTTTAAAATCGGTACGGTAACTAATTGTGGGTATAACTATAGGAGGTATTTGCTGTACGATCGAAATCAATGTATCTTATGCGTACTGTCGTTAAACCGAACTATATTTTTTATTGGTAAGCCTGATTTTAATGACTGCCGAAGGAAAGAAAAATAATTATTAGAATCGTGACTCGTGAACCGTAATTTTTTTTTGTTGGTTATTAGCTTGGGAATGACAATTCAAATCGACACGAGTTTCAAATGATCCAATAAATACTTGTGGTATACGGAACTGGATGTTCAGGGCAAAAAGTAATGTCGAGGAAATGATCCGCGTAATAGTGTTTGGGCGGGATAAGAGATTATTAGACGTTTCACACTTTGCTAGTTTAGTGAAAGAGTCTGGGAATATAGGTTAACAGTGTCAGATTCGCTGTAAAGATAAATCGCACTAATAGTCTGATCCACATTTCTAAACGTTTCCCATGGGAATTACTTTTACGGTAGGAAGAAACAGGGTCGTACGAATGGAATAAATTGTAGGTAGGATAACGCACGTGTGTACATAATTGATTTATGATATATTCATATAATAATGTCCTTAGAAATAATTTCGAATACTTTTTTCAACGTAAATAAGGCTCAACCGATCTCAATGTAAAAATCTGTTGATTTCAATGATCGAGAAAGTGGACAATAAAACTTTTTTTACCCAGACTCAATAAAAGCTACTGATAAAGCTAAAGAAAATAATTTGCTCTCTCGGCCGCTAAAATTCAGCAACGGAGGTAAAGACAGCAGCAATCTGGTATCTGATTATGCATAAGCGCATAGGAGCACAAGCCGGTACAGGCAAGCGAGAAAGTGCAGTTACGAATGTAAGACTGTCAGGACGTTCTGGGTAATCAGAAGTTTTATCCGATGTCTTGTGGTAACGCCTCGAGTGCGTGAGGTCACGACGGGATCAAGCATCAAGGAATTCCATTAGGATTGATGTTGTTTGTTTGAGAAAATTTCTGTCTGATCATTCGATTTAGTCTTTTTTTTTTGTTATATTCTGGAGTTAGTCAAGAAATTCTTATTCAAGTCAATATTTACTTGTACGATATATATGTATTATACCGTATTACTTCGGAGTCCTGATAGCGGGCTTAAGACCTTTGGCCATAAGAAGCTCTGAAGTTCGAACACCTCAAGAAACCGTACGTTATCGGAGTATATTGTTCTTGTTCACGGAGTTACGTCAAATACATCGTGTTAAAATTCAATCGAGTCCTTTATACTTCTTTCTGTTCGTATAGATTTTCTATATAGCTACTTTCTTTCTCTATTATTTTTCTCTTTCCATCGAAAAACACTCTCCCAGTAAAATCGACGTGTCACGTAAGAGCCGTGCAACGCGAATAGAAAATATGTGATACAATTTAAACTCCATACCAAGTCTTATATAAGTTTCTTGGTTACGAGGAAACATGGGAATTTAATATAAGAAAAAATCCTAGACATGCAATTTCCTTGGATTTATATTCCTGGAGGTTATACACGTGTCCTGAAACGTATGGGGGATGTATCGGAAGAAATGATAAAAAAAATTGATACCATTGGGTAAGGAAATATCGGGTGTCAATGTAAAAAATAATTGTATCCATTTGTTCCATGAATCTTAGTGCGTTCAAATCTT